GCAAGCCAGGCATTGCCAAGATCAAACCATGCGGCTGCTCCAACAAGGCTGCGAAGGCAACTGCCAAGAAGGTGAAGGCAATCATTAGGAAAACGTCCAACAGCCATGAGGTGAAGGCAGTGAAGGGCATGTTGCCTAGCTGTAGACTGATGGGTAGACTGATCTTGCTCATCTGCCAGAGGTTTCTGATTACATGTGCAAAAGGTTGAAGGTGTGCTTGAGCGTAGTGAGCCATCATGGCCTGATTGCTTAGCTGCCTGTGGCTTGTGTTTTGTGCGTTCAAACCGTACGTTTTAAACACTTAGGTTTCGTGCCGTGCGTTCTTGCGTTTGAATTTCAGATGCGGTTTTGACGTTCCGAGGTGAGGACGCGCCATAACGTACAACAAACAATAATGCCAATGCGTTCAGGGAGCAAACAAAAGGCATCAATTGAACAAATGACATATAAAAAACAGGAGCAAGAAGCACAACAACCAACCACCACAAACCGCACACCCCAACGCATGCTTAGAAGTGCCGGAAAAGCATGCGAATACCGAGCCCTTCCAGATGATGAGCGTAGATGTTTTTAAGCCAGTTGGAAAATGCATTTGGTGTAATGTTTTTTGTTGGGTACTTGGCAACTAGATGTGTAAACAGGAAACGTTACCCCACTGTAGGTGAAAGATTCATGACAAGGAACGACCGAATGTCATCACAGAAACCCTACAGCACTGCTGATTGCTTACCAGAACGAACACAAAAACACCAGGCCCTGCACTGTGTTTTGTCAGAAGTTGGATTTGTTTTCCAAGAAGTGTGTGTACGAGCCACACAAATGATGCATTTTCCCGGGGACTGTGTACAAGCCACACCTAGCTATATATGGATGAGGTCCGGTTTGTAGGCTAGGGTTGCACGTTTTGGATTACACGTGCGCAACCTTACGTTATACGTGCTGCGTCACGCAGGTTTGAATCCCTGCAGACACGTCTCGACATTATGTCCGACCAATTGTTGCACCTCATTTGAATGACACTTTCGACAGCGCGGCAAGCCTTGAGTAGCACCACAATCCCAACCTCTATTTTTGTTTTTGGGCTCAACTTTCTACAGCCGGAACCATGATCAGGGAAAGACTGCAACGGTAAGATCCTGCCCAAAAAATCAAGTCTGGCATCCATAGAGCACTTGTAAACCAATGTTGTGCGGCCAGCAGAGGGATTGAGCGTGGCAGCACATCGTTAGGCGTCCGATGTTGCCGGGCGAACAGGTTCACTAGATGATTAGATGTCACTCTCTTTGGCCGCTTCAGGGTGCTTCATTTTCATGTCACAGAGGTGACCGTCACTGCCGACCTCGTTTTATCGGTCGAGTCTGTCGTCGACCTCGTGGTCGAAAACACATCTCACGGTCGGATGGGGACGTGACCGGTGAGGTCTTTTGCGCAGATCTTCAAGGAGAAGAGGATTGAGGAGAGTTATGGTCCTGCCTGGGATGTAGGCCAGGGGGCCGAAAGGGGGGCGAGGCCGAGGGGGCGAGGGCCGAAGGGTGCAGAGGGGACGTGTGCCGTTCGTTGGGCCATTTAGAAAACAAAGGATGAGATTGATAGATATTGATCGTGTATGTGCGATTCTGGCGAAAATCTTTCTTGTTCGTTCTTGCCGCGGTGGAGAGTTGGACTTCGAATGTGAGTGAGGACTCAGAAGGTAATGCCTCCCTAATTTGTGGGCGGGTGTCCCTAGCAGGTGACGTCTCCAGAAGGAACTTGTTCTTCCAAGAGCGGCCAGTCTGCACCAAGGATCAAAAGGTTGACTTCCAAAGAGTCCTCATCTAGTGGGAAGTTTGAAGCTCCAAAGTTCCGGAGTCCTCTAGATGGGGCACTGGTGCTTCGCCCCTCGATATTTCGTGACCCCCCAAAAGGGAACTGAACGCAGCTGTCCGTTCGCCCCTGTGTGGCGTTTAAACCAAGGCCCAGATGGACATTGGCTTCCACCACCCACCGAAGGAGGACCCCCGATGTTCGACTCGCCATTCGATCGAGTGACCGAACGGCTGCAAGCGTTGACGGAAGCGTGACGGTCACGATGACACACACACACACTCATATACATCCTTGAGTGATCGAGGTTTATTGCTAGCACCGCAACCATGATGTGGAGCACCGCATGCAATACAAGCCCACCCTGAGAAAATCAAAGGCAAAGTTGACGGGACACACCTTTGAGCCAGTGGTTCTGTTTCTGTTTCGCAATGTGAAGATACTTTGCAAGTGCCGCACGGCAATGATTTTTGCTGTGGTCTGCCAATTGGACCCACATGTTCATTGAGCATCATTGATCTCCTGTTCTCAAGAAGTTTCACTACATCCACATCTTCAAATGGATCCACCCACATCGAAGATGTCTGCTCGAAGTGCTCCGAGAGACCGCTTTCATCTGCTTCGATCGCTGAAGTTCTGAGGACCGACGAAGAGACTCGCAGAAGTCCCTGTGAGCTATGAGGCGCCATGATTTTCCGCGCTGGCAGGGGGGTACAGAAGCCAGAGGTTCAACAACAGGGTGTCAGCGTCCACTGACGAAATTGGTCAGGTCATGTCTGACGCGGCTTTTTCTTGGGGCCTATAGAGAGGCACTTTTCTGGAAAGGAGCAGCTCCCCGTGATGCTCCACAGTTCTTTCACCTGCGTGCCTTCCGCACGTTCTTATATAGTTCAACGTTGTGTGTTAAAACAGCATAGGCATAGTGTTGGGAAATGTTGGGAGGCTGTTTTTCAGATCCTCCATCAAAGGGCCATTCAAGATAGGGCAGGGCAGATCCAAAACCAGTGCTGTTTGCATTGAGCTCGCAGGAGGTGCGCATTTTGGGTTTCCATTTTGCAGCCACTTGCAGCCACTTGCAAGTGGCTGCCAAGTGGCTGCAAGTGACTGCTACTTCTGTCCGGAGAATATCATGATTTCTCCGCACGCAGCTCTGGAGGAACCACGATTTCTGCAATGCTGTTCTGCGAAAAAAATCCGGTTTTCTCCAGAGCTGCGCGCGGAGAAATCATGAAATAATCTAAGACTTGTCCGAGAATAAATTCCAAACTTCTGCAGAGCTAGCGACGAAGAAACCTTGCAGTTTTTACTCAAAGTGCACGTGTTGAAGTTTACTTGCTTGAGTGACAAGTGGCTGCAAGTGGCTGCCAAGTGGCTGCCTGAGCAAGTGGCTGCAAATGACTGCAAAACCAAAATTCAAAAATGTACGTCATTTGCTTGCTCTCTGGCTGTTTGCCTTTCCTCAGCAAGGAAACGCAAGGAGTCAAACTTTAGTTGCTTAAACTTTCTTAAGCTTATTTATAATTGTATCTTTGCGACCTTCCTGACTGGGAAGCCCTCCCAGGAAGTGCTTTAATTAGTTGTTCTCCTTGTCGCTTAATCCAGCAAAATCAATGTCTACGGGGAAGTGGAGGCAGATTGACTCGAAAGAAGTTGAAGGTAGAGGAGGACCTGCAGTATCTCCGGTATCAGTAAAATTCACTGACCCGAAAAGGGATAGAAACACGAACCCAGTCTAACACACACAGTTAGACAATGGGTTTGCAGTTAACTCTGTTCCACGTCAAAATGAGTTGCAGAACGGAAAGGTGGCTGAGTCTGCTGAAACAGAATGTTTGAACAGTGGCGGTTTCACTTGACTGCGAAAGCGCTCAGCGGTGACGCGGCTGCAAATCAGCGGTGGGAAAAGAGGTTTAGGGGTCTAGCATGCAAGGACCATGGAAACAAACCGAGAAAATTGGACAGCGTGGTCAAAAGATCGGATTGCAGGTACACGAATGGACGTCTCCACTCGCTTCCCCTCCAGCGATTTAGCTTCGTTGGACAAGGTTCATCGCTGGAGGCCTTGCCCCCCTGCGAATCCTGTGTAACAAACAAAACTCTCAGAAACAGAGGGGGGCACACACACCCGGCCGCCTTGCGGCGCTCGCGTGCAAGGCCGGAATAGGTACCCAAAAAGCCTTAGAAGCAAGAGAAAGCATACCAGAAAGAGCAGCGGTAAAAGGGCAAGAGAGAAAGATAGGAGTAGCAAAAAGTTAATACTTAGCCCTTGACTGGGGTAGGGAAACGAGCCTCAAGAACAACCTAAAAAGCTCGAAAGAAAGCCCAAGAAGCGATGAAAAGCGCAAGAAAGAAAGCGGGGGGCAGGGAGGGGATGTATGTACATGTGTGTGTCCGTGTGTGTGTATTAAATTGTATTAATACCTGGCACCCTAGAGTTACTGAATACTTAGCGGAAGCGAATTAGGTGCAATAGTTAGGGAGCGGGACTTTAGTCTTAAACCGCCCGGGTAGAGTAGATTAAAACAGGGACAACAGAGTCAAAATGAGTTGCAGAACGGAAAGGTGGCTGAGTCTGCTGAAACAGAATGTTTGAACAGTGGCGGTTTCACTTGACTGCGAAAGCGCTCAGCGGTGATGCGGCTGCAAATCAGCGGTGGGAAAAGAGGTTTAGGGGTCTAGCATGCAAGGACCATGAAAACAAACCGAGAAAATTGGACAGCGTGGTCAAGAGTTCGGATTGACACGAATGGACGTCTCCACTCCCTGAGCATCCGATATTGATTACAATCAAGATTTGAAAAGTGATATTGATTTCAATGTTTTTTCAATATAAAATATTGATTTCAGAGCCGGCCAAAATCAAGATTTTCTATTGATTTCAAAGGTCATGTTTGAGCATCAAAAAGCAGGAGACAAAATCAAGATCAAAATCAATATCAAAATCAATATTTTCATAGCCACAACCTGCCCCAGATCCCTTTCCACCCAACCAGCAAACACATCTTTTTTTCACACTGCATTGCCATGGGTGAAACTGCTGCTTTGGGTGAGACTGCTGCTTTTTCAAGCTCTTCTTGCCTTTTCCAAGGGCATGCTTTTGCAAGCAAGTTCCCTTTGTCAAGGGCAAGCTTTTTCAAGCAATCCTTTCACAAGGGCCAGCTTTTGCAAGCTGGATTGCTGCTGGCAAGGGCAAGCTTTTACAAGCAAGCTTTTGCAAGCCAATGCACCTGGCAGTGGATGAAGCATGCATCCTTTCTCAAGGACATTCCTTTTCCAAGGTGCTGTGGCATAGCAATGCCCTTTTGCAAGGCTTCCCCAGGAGAACCTTTTGCAAGGGTTATCCTTTTCCAAGGGCTGGTACTTCAATTGCAACCCAAGACCTTTTGCAAGGTCAGACCAGGGCCCTTTTGCAAGGCAGCCCTTTTGCAAGGCCCCTTTCTCAAGGGTCACTGGAGGTTTCCAGCCTGAAGCCTGGTCTGGTGTACAGGAGGTGCAAAAGAATCCTGTACTTGGGTGCAAGCTTTTGGCTGAGTTTTGTTGCTCTGACACCCATTGACACACTATGTGTGAGAGTGGAAATGTGTCCAACAAAATCTTCAGCCTTGAAGCACCAGTGGAATCTGGGGTTGATATACCAAGCATCTTTTGCAAGATGTAAGAAGCTATGGTGCTTGTTGACAATGTGGAATGACTTCCTGTCATTGTCTTTAGACCATGCTTCCAGCCATTGGTATTCAGACATGCATTGCTGTGCTTTTTGCCATGCCTTCTTATATTCTGACTTGGTCAGAAAGAGGCCAGCTTCATCCCAGATCTGAACAACTTCACACATGCATTGCAAGCAAGTGATCATGTGGAAGTGCTCTTCCCTGGAGCCATCCAGAAGGTTTTTGCAAACCTTCAGTAGGGCTGGTGCCAGATGCTTTCCCTCAGCACCTTTGGTGCTAAGGAATGCCCAATCCTTCCAAGGACTCTGTGGGTTGGTAAACATCTTCAGGACCAGATTGGTGAGGCGACAAGAAGTCTTCTGCTCCTTGTATACCTCTTGGATTTCCTTGAAAATGATACCCAGCCTTTGACAAGGCTTGACCACCTGGGCCTCTGTATCATACCAGCAACAATAGTGCAGGATCGACCCAAGGAGATGTGCGTACACTCCCTTAGTAAAGAGTATATGCAGCCCATCTCCTCTGACCATCCTGGAACTCACCCCATCCACTTCAGTAAATAGTGGGTGGTGTGAGGTGGGCCAGGTCGAAGCCCATGCATGGTCCACCTCAGTGAAGATGTCCATGTCAAGTGTTTGGAAAGGCTTCTCACCTCCTGCTTGTGTGGCGTCACACTGCCAGCATGGGTTCCAATTCTTCCAGTGTGGCAGATACAATGAATTGCTAAAGAAGTCATGGTCTCCTTCAATAGCCCACACAATGGCTCTCAGGTTGCCTGCCAAGGGCCTACCCCTTGCTTCAAAGAAGGGGCTGCCCTTTTCCAAGGGCTGACCCTCCCAATCCTCTTTGGGGTGCTGCCCTTTTGCAAGGGCTTTGAAGGACCATGCCAGCACCTTCCAGATTTGGGGCCAAGTCTCCTTGGTTGTGCAGGTCTTTGGATGAGCAGCCAGGAGCAAGTGTGAATCCAGTGAATTTTCCTGTGAAAGGAAGCCTCCAAAGGACCACACCATCAAGGAATCTCTAGATTCATATTCCACTCCATCCCCATGCAAGAACAAGGGGATAGCGCAGTGCTCCCACCCTTTGTCAAGGGTTGCAGGATGATCGACCAGCCTATCATCATGCCTGGCAAGTGCCTCCTCCCAAAAATCAGACAATTGGCTTACCTGGAAGATTTTTTCAAATGCTTCAGGGTAAGCCACAGCCAAGGTGCTGAAATGCAAGTGCGGCATGAAAACAGCAATCTCTTCTATGCAATCTTTGCTGGTCTTTGGGTCAAAGCTTTTGCAAGCATGGAGGAAAGGCTCTGCTACAGATACCTTCTGGCAGAAGGATCGAAGCAAAGCCCTGTGGCAATTGCCTGGCTGCTCACCATAATTGCCTGCACTGGCCAGAAGTGCTATCTCTGGGTGTGTGCACCCATCCAGATTGGCCAAGTGCGACAGCCTCTGCACTTCTGCTGCAGACACCTTACCATGGGCCCACAGAGATAGCAATTTTGTTGCAAAATTGCTTGGCTGTGCAGCTTCCACAGCCCTGGGCTCTTCCTGCCCTGCTTCCACAAGCTCCACATCTTTTTTCCACCCTCGCAATCCTTGGCTGAGGGCATTGCTGGCAATCCTTTTGCAAGGTCCTTTTTCAAGGTAATGAGCAATGTCCTTTTTCAAGGTAATGAGCAGTGTCCTTTTTCAAGGGATTTCCTTTTGCAAGGGATATGGATCCTTTTGCAAGGGGTATCCTTTTGCAAGGAAATGCCCTTGGGAAGGGCAAGCTACCTTCTACCTTTTTCTATATATACAGCCAACTCTTGCTTTGAATGGCTTGAAAACCTCAAACAGCTGCAGAGAAGGTGCACATGTATGTACATGCCTGGTTCCTGTGTGGCTTGCAACATGCTGCATCTGGACACACCACACATATGGATGCTTGTTTTTGACCACTTTGCAGTGCCAGTCATGACAGCCAAGCATTTTCTTGGACTGTGCTATCTAAAAAAACCTTTTGCAAGGTTACAAAACATCCTTTTGCAAGGTACTGTACAAACCTTTTGCAAGGGGAAACCTTTTACAAGGCAAGGTCCTTTTGCAAGGGGTCATCCTTTTGCAAGGGTTACCTTTTGCAAGGCTATTCATGAAGAAAGCTTGGGGGAAGGTGTGCTCAACCCTTTTACAAGGGCTGCCTTCTGGGAAGATACCCTTTTACAAGGGTGGCAAGGGCAGGAGGAATCCTTTTGCAAGGTGTTTGGAGGCTTTTGCAAGGATGCCCTTTTGCAAGGGTTCCTCACCCTTTCTCAAGGACCTTTTTCAAGGGGTCACTTGGCAGTGGATGCCTTGCTGAAGGCCTTGTTTGCCAACTGCTTCAGCTCCTTTGCCTCTTCCTTAGCATCCTTGCAGAGGGAAGCACACTTCACCAGAGCAGGCTTGAGGACTTCCAGAGAAGGCTTCTTTGCAAGCACATTTTTCAAGTGCAATTGAGCCTTTTTCAAGGCTTGCAGCTTCTTCTCAGTGTCCTCCCTGGCCGATTTGGACAGTCTGGATTTGGCCTTTTCCAAGACTTCCTCCAAATCATCCAGCTGGCTGGAGCAAGCATCTCTTGCCCTCTTGGCCCTTTTCATAACCTTTTCCAAGGTCTCCTCTGGTGGTTGCTCCTCTTCCTCCTCTTCCTCTTCCTGCAGGTCATCCTCCTCTTGGTCCTTGTCCTGATGGCCAGCACTGGAACCTTGCCTTTCCCTTTGCCTTTTCCCTTGCCTTTGTCTTTCCCTTTTCCAAGGGCTTTCCCTTTTCCAAGGGGATGGGCTTCCAGCTCAATGGCAAGCACACCACCGTGGCCATCAGCACCCCACAGGCTGGCAAAGGCTTCTTCCTCCTGCTCATCAGGGTCATACTCCACACCCTTTGAAGTGCTTCTGCCCTTCTTGACTTTGCTTTCTTTCATGAATGAGGCAGTGTCCTGGTACTCATACACACGGGGTGTGTGGACATACCCTCCAGATGATGCGACCACTGGCCAGGTGGGCATCAAACTCTTCTACCTCCATGAGCTGCAAGAATTCTTTCTTGCTAGCCCACTTCTCCTGCTTACTCCAGGTTTGGTCAGTGTCCACTGCCTCCTTGCAGTGGAGAAACCTGGAGCCCCTGTCGCTCTTTTTCAAGAGCCACAGGGCAGCAGCATGGCCTTTCTCAAGCTTGCCCCTCTTTTCATGCACCTTCTTCTCATCAGGGTTCTTTTTCAAGAACCCTTGGTGCTTTTGCCAGAGAGATTGCTGCTCAGCTGGTGTCATAGCCTTTTTCAAGGCCTCAGCTGCCTCTTCTTCATCACTGTGATCCTCATTGATGGCAGCAATCTTCTCTGAGAGGGACATCTTCTGAAGCCTGCTCAGGTTCCTCTTGCACAGCTTGCCCTTTTTCAAGGGTTTTGCTTTGAGGTTCCCCTTCTGAACAGGCTTGCTGCCTGAGCTGGGGTTTGCCTTTCCCAAGGCTTCCCCCTTTGCCTTTGTCAAGGCTGCCTTTCTCAAGGCTGTGCCCTTTACCAAGGGCTGTCCCTTTGGCAAGGGTTTTGCCTTTTTCAAGGCTGCCTTTGCCAAGGCTTTGGGTTTTGCTTTGGGTGTGGCTCCACCCTTCTTCATGGCATTCTTCAAAATGCCCTTGGGCTTCCCAGCCATGCCTTTCCTTTTTCTTGTTTTGTCTCTATGTGTTTCTTTTGGTGTTTCCCTGTAAGCCAAACAGCTATAGTGTACATCACGCATGTATAATATATGGTTCAAATATTACAACAAAAACTGGTTAGAACTGTGAAAACAACAAAAACCGACAATCCACACAAGAAAGCAAATGGTTGGACACCATAATTCACCAAAATATTTATTAAACAAAGATATATTTAGACCTAGCAAAACTTGAAAACCCGATTAAGTGTGTTCTTTCAATACATAGTTTCAATGCAAAAATACAAAAAACACATTTTAAAACAAAACACACAAAAACAACAAAAACTCACAAAAATACAAAATAGTTGTTTTTTAATTGTAAATGCAAATAGAAAACTAAAAAAATAGAAAAACTTACAAAAACTATAAATTTAGTTTTTATGTTTAACTAAAATTTGAACTAAAAATAAAAAAATAAACAAAAACTCAAAAATACAGTAAAACACTATAGCAAAACCAAAGCACAAAATCCAGACACAAAAATATAATTTTTTGAAAAAAAAACTAAAAAATCAAAAAAAAATGAAAAATGAAAATATGATGAAATATGATGAAATATGAAATATAGTGTTTTACTGTATTTTGAGTTTTTGTTTATTTTTCTATTTTGAGTTCAAATTTTAGTTAAACATAAAAACTAAATTTATAGTTTTTGTAAGTTTTTCTATTTTTTTTAGTTTTCTATTTGTATTTACAATTAAAAAACAACTATTTTGTATTTTTGTCAGTTTTTTGTTGTTTTTGTGTGTTTTGTTTTAAAATGTGAATTTTTGTATTTTTGCATTTAATTGATGGATTATTTGTATGGAGTTTTGGATGTGTTTGTATAATGTTGTTTTTGTTTTTTTTTATATAGTTTAACATAGTTTTTTACTCTATTTTTAGATTTTGTCATGATTTCTGTATTGAAAACAAAAAGTACTATTTTTTGGTTTTTGTTTGAAGTTTCCATTGATATTTTCCATTAAACAAAGAACTTTTTGGTATGGTTAATGATTTTGTGTTGTTTTTATGTTTTAATTGTAATGCAAGTATATTTGACTTCACATATAGAATTATTGCTTTCAAAACCTATTGAATAACAAACCCTTTTTGTTGTTTTAATTGAAGATTAACTCTGACTATTAAACTTACACTATTTACACTTAAATACATATAATCTATAAACACACTATATTACATATATATTTAATAACCTTAAAATTATAATATATAAAATGATATTGATATTTTATGTATTTCATATTAGTTTTTCAAATTCATGTTTGGCTGCCATTTTGGCTAGCCTGCTGGAGTGAAACACACGCATGGCCTCTCACTCAGCTCTTTTTCAAGAGCTTGCTCTTTCCCAAGAGCTTGCTCTTTCCAAGAGCATGCTCTTTTTCAAGAGCTTGCTCTTTTTCAAGAGCGTTTGGCTTGGCTCTTTTTCAAGGGCCTGCAGGAGTTCTAGCTCTTTTGCAAGAGCCTGGGCCTGCCCTTTTCCAAGAGCTTGCTGGGTGCTGGTCCTTTTTCAAGGACTTGGGTGCTGATCCTTTTTCAAGGATCACTTGCAGGAGCAACCCTTTTTCAAGGGTACTGGTGCATCAGGAGGTTCCACCTTACCCTTTTGCAAGGGCTGGCAGTGTGGATGCTTTCTCAAGCATCAGCAGGCCACTTCTGAGGTTTAAATTCCTCCATGAAGCTCAGCACTGCCTCAGCAAAGGTTCGGAACCTCCTGTGCTCTGGCATCCACTCATGTGGTTGTTTGTGTGTGGTGATGCCAAAGCACTTGATGCCCCAGTCATTGCACTCCCACAAGATGTCATCTCCATCATCAAAGATGGCACTGCACCCAAACCCAGTGGCAAGGTCAGCCTTGCCCCTGGGCCCAGTTCTGGCAGTGGTGGTGCCCACCCACATCAACTCCTGCGCCACCATGGGGCCAAGGAGGCTCTCCATCTCATGTTGTACCTTCTGTCTTTGTGTTCTCCCACACCAAGAACAGAGGTACACACCAATTCCTTTTTCAAGGAGTTGATGGAGAGCCTCCAAGTCCTGGGCCCTGATGGTGTCATCAGGGCCAGCCTTCAGAGTGTTGTGCCAGTCCACCATCACCTTCCACCTTTTGCAAGGTGGAGGTGATGGTGCTGCCTTGACTGGCACAGCCCCTTTTCCAAGGGTTGACTCTTCTTGCCCTTTGCCAAGGGCTGTTGATGCATCACCATCACCTTTTTCAATGGATTGTGCCTGACCTGTCCCTTTTGCAAGGGATTGCTCCTCCTCACCACCCTCTTTTGCAAGAGCTGGTGCCTCCTGCCCTTTTGCAAGGGGCTCAGAGGGCCTGGAAGGAGCAGAGGTGGCCCCTTCCTCTTCCCAGCCTTGGTCAACATGTGAGAATGGGAAGGGGTAAGGGGTCTGCTTCTTCCTCCCCTTCTCCTTTTCCAAGGACACCTTCTTTGCCTCCTTTTCCAAGGAAGCCTTGCCTGATTCCTTTTCCAAGGAAGCCTTGCCTGATTCCTTTTCCAAGGAATCACCTTTTGCAAGGTTGGGTGGGTCCTTTTCCAAGGGCTCATCCTCCTGCTTGTGCTTCTTGTTTTTCCTTTTCCCTTTTTCAAGGGTTGCCTCCTGCTCATCATCCCAATGGTCTGCTGAGCTGCTGGCTGCTGACCCTTTTGCAAGGGTTTTCCTGAGGCCAAACTTACCCATCCTCATCTGAGTCAGGGCAGTCCTTCTGAGGTTGGCCAGGAGCTCCTCAGTGGCCTCATCATCTTCTGGCCCCTGACCAAAGGCTTTGCCTCCCTCTTTTGCAAGAGGTTTGGTCTCCTTGGGCTCACCTTTTTCAAGGCCTTTCCTCCTCTTGGCTTTTCCAAGCCCTTTGGGGTCACCCCCACTCTGCTTTTGACCTTTCGCAAGGTTCTTACCTTTTGCAAGGTTCTCACCTTTTCCAAGGTTCTTACCTTTTGCAAGGTTCTTCCCTTTTGCAAGGTCTCCAGGGCCATCGCCTTCCTGCTTGCCACCTTTGGCTTTGGCTTTTGCAAGCCCTTTGGCCTTGGCTTTTGCAAGCCCTTTGGC